AATTATTAAATCAATCAGTTTCCACAATAACTCTGGAGCAAATACCTCATACTTACAATATTTTTAAGGATAAATCATGATTTCAAAAATGGAGCAAAATTTAAAAGGCTAGCTATAATAGAAAATACATTATGAAATGTAGTAGGGAATATATTTGCATAGTTGAGTGGAGATAATTAAATTATTCATTAAATTATGGGATAAATATGAGAAAAGTAATAAATGTGGAATCCCTAGCTATCCTAGGGAAAAAAAATAACAGTGAGACTTTGGTCTAAAGGAATTTTGTCTGGCTCAATCAGATAGGTTAGATTAAGTTGGGACAGAGATTAGAAGCAGGAAATCTAAGAGTTTGGAATAATAATCAGAACCAAAGTGAATAAAAAACAAGTTTAAGGGAATACGTAGTGGAAATGTTTTATTGAGATATCTAATAGCTCTTAAAATAGAATTTTGTTTTGCAGGAATATATCTTTTATAGAAAACAATTTGCTTGTTATCTTTGAAAATTAGATCTATAGTATTATTTGTGTTAGTCATTAAATAGAACCCTACCGTAGTCCAACATAAGAATGTATAGAAGGATGTAGACTTCAGTTCCAGTGAATAAAAAAGCTATCTGTATAGGCCTTATAATATATGAACTGCTTAGTGTTGACACTGTAAACTTATTGCACCATCTGAATGTAATAACTTGAAACATGAAGTTTTACCCTATTCCCACAAGATAAAAAATGCTGCTTTCAGGAATTCCCTGGACATATAAACTCTCTGGAGAAAATAGCATGTAGGCAGTTTCCAGAAGTACACATTTGAGTACTATTAGTAAAGGAAGGATGGTTCGCCTCAAATTTCATGGGAATATATAAAGATAAAGGTTATTGCTAAGGCAGCCAGGACTCAAACCTCTCAGGGACCCAATGCCTAGAGTCAACAGCTTCTATAAGGAAACAAAATAAATAACGAAACAGATAGCATCCTGTATTAAAATTTTCCAGAAGGATCTGAACCATCAAAACCACTTACTGGGGCCAGAGAGATAGTTCAGTGGGAACAGCACTTGCCATGCAGGTTTGATCCCCAGCACCATAGGGTCCTCAAGTCTTATGAGAAATGATCCCTGAGCACAGAGCCAGGAGTAAGCTTTGAGCACAGCTGGTGTGGCAGCAAAAAACAACAAATAAACAAGCCATTCATTTTAGTCAGTCTTCTGTCACATTCTCAGAAAAATCCAGCTTGATGACTATAAGAAAAACTCTTAATGTTGTGAAAAAGGCATCTCCAAAGTCATAGGTGAAATATCAATAATAAAAGGAACATAAAGGCTAGTAGTACAGAACTATAAATATAAAAATGCTTACTAAAACGTTTTAAAAGTTAATATTCCCTGCTGAAGATTCCAGAAACCCTGACCAAGACTAGAGAAAGGAAACATTCACATAAACCAAACTTATATCAGTGACCTTAAGAGACAAAGGAACTCTAAATTCTGCTTCATTTTTTGTCTACCTGATGACAAAAAATTAGTCCTACTGCTGCTATTTAAAAAATACCCCAAAAATGTTCTTAAAAGCCACTCTCAAGATTGTTTCAATTTTAATTCATTATTGTTATTTTTGAGATAATGTATTTTACAGTAATGTTTAGGATTGTGCTTTTTCTGTATAGTTACTACACCTTTACCACCATCAAAGTGTCACAGACCCTCCATAACTGACTTTATGTAATTCTTCATCTGCTGTATTGGTCTTACCCCACGCTTACACTGCCATCCTTGGTAACCTGAGTTCTGTTGTTAAAATTAAAATTTCCTTCGATGTTGACCATCTCTTTTCTTTTTTTTTTCTTTATATACAACATACAAGTAAGATCACACATCATTTGTTCTTCTCCTTATGATTTATTGTGCTCAGCATGGCACCTTTTGATCCCATCCAAATTGTGGCAAAAGGAAAGCTTTTATCTATAGCTTAATTGCATTTCATCATCATTTTCCTAAAAATCACAATGCTTCTGCACAATGTCTTCAATTTTCTGTTTGATCACATAAATGTATTGTCCCTTTGTATGTGCACATGCAAATTCATCTATCTTAGCTGAAAACATAAAAATTTGGTATGATGTTTATGATTTAGTAGTGTATGGTTTTCAAAAACAAATGCTCTTTATGGCTATACTTCTTCAAACATTCTGATCTATAAATGACCCCCTCACTATAGAGCATGGTTTAAGAAGAGAGAGGAGATGTGCTAATATTTTTCACATGGAAAGAAAATAAACATTGAACTAGTAGCTATTATTATAGTTATGGATATCTTTACTATTTGTGATTTTATTTATTTATTTATTTTTGTATTTGAGAAACTCTAAAATTTCATTTTCTGAGATAGCTCTAAAAGGATAGAGAAACTTAGGAAGAAACCTTAACCATCTGTCACCTCAGAAGACCCCCAAAAGAGAACCCTGTATTTTTATTTATTCACCAGAAAAATATCCAATAGTTTATATGATTGGCAATTTGCAAAATACTATGGAAGAGATCCAAGTTAATAAGTTATCCACATGCTAATGAAATTTAGTACTTTATTTTCATCATTTTCTTAGGTCTGTAATACCAGTATCCTAAGTGAAGCAATATTGGCTAACAGCTGTATTAACAACCCCTGTTCATTAGTGAAATTGTGTACCAGGCACCCAAGGGACAGATGTGAGAAAGTAGAAAATGTAGACTTTTATTTCTGAAAGATCTTGTCAGTAACCTATTTAGAAAGTAAAGCACAAATCCTTTCAAAGCCAAATTTATCCCTGAAGGAAATTATGAGAAAAATTTACTGACAATTAATTATATGAAGCACCGTGTAAGTTTATAATTGCCATAGAATCTGTAAAATGTTTTCTTTATAATCTTCTTAAAAATATTTCTTAATCTATTTTGAAATGATATCTTAAAAAAATCATGTATTTACAGGTTTTGGCATGAATCTAATTTAATATGAAATAGGCAAATTATTTATTTATTTGTCTATTCAATTATTTTGATTTTCATCCCATATCAGAGAGTGTTCAGAGATTATCCCTGTCTCTGTGCTTTGGAATGACTCCTGACAGTGCTTGGGGTCCCATATGTGGTTTGTCAGGATTCAAACTAGGGCAGCCACATGCAAGGCAAGAACCTTAACTCCTATATTACCTCTTTAGACTAAATAATGTGTTTTAGTGTTTGAGTTCTTTTGTGTTACCACCAGAAGATATAAATAAGCTGGGCAGCAAAAGGAGAGAGAGAACACAAGGGATTGCCCTGCCACAGAGGCAGGGTGAGATGGGAGGGATGGGGGTGGGAGGGATATTACCCATGGTGGTGGAAAATGGGCACTGGTGGAGGGATGGGTATTTGATCATTGTATTATCAAAACCCAAGCACAAAAAATTGTAAATCTACAACTGTACCTCATGGTGTTTCACTAATAAAAAAAAATAATGATTTAAAAAAAATAAGCTGGGCAATACCAACCCTGTTCCTTTGAAGCGGGACTTTTGCATTGTAAAAGAAATACTATGTGATTTGCATGAATCCTTGTATATTAACCTTTCCATATCTTTATACTGTCATGTCATAACTTTGGACCAATGATATTTGATTGTGCTTACATATTGGCAATATAATATTTTAAAATAAAATAAACAAATCAGAAAGATGTATTTAATTTGACAGCCTATTTTCTTATTTTGATTATGCAAAAATACACCTGTTCAAATTTTGCACATCGATCCACAAGAAGACTCAACTCTGACAGACTGATGGATTGACTGTATTCAAAGATTTCCTGGTTAAGCATATTTCGAATTCACAGAATATGCATTGAGAATCTTGCCTGCTATCCCAGGTAGCCAACTCTGTTTGCAAGTAAAATATTAATTGAAAATTAAAGTGCTTTAGGTTTCATATAAAGAAAATATTGTACAGCACAATCTTTGTCATCTTCAAGAACAACATGGCATGTATTGGGAGAGTTCAAAGGCATGGAACCTATTTATGTATATTTACAGTTGTAATTTTTTTAGAAAGAACAAAATTACCTACTTCTCTAAAGAACATTTTTATTCCCTTGGTACCAAATCAATAAAGTTCCTCTCACCATAGCAGCTGTTGTTTAATGGTTCCAACGAGTTGATACACTGCCTAAATGGAACACAATTCAGAGTGTATACCAAGTGAGTCCTCCATTTATGCTAATGGATTGGTTCTCTCACTAGCATTTAAAGTACAATTTATAGAAATGGACCTTCTGAGACTAAAATCAATAATATATGAGTCCTATTTTAGATACCATGTTTATGAGATTCCCACATGTATAGTAATAATGATAAATACAGTACTACATAATTATAAGAAATATCAATTTTCTTATGAATAAATTATTTTCTAGTTAATTACAAACTATGAGATTCACAGAAATTATAAGTCATAATCTCAGCACAGAGTACCATAAATTTGGTTAATTTAGCACAAATACTCTGATAATATCATATATAGCTCTTATAAGGCATTTAAAGACCGAACACCCAAATATAAGCTGAAAGTTTGTTGATTACTGATAATAACTTTAAATAGCAGCAATAAATGCTGCCCATTCTAAGAAACTCTTTCACTCAATGCATACTATTCATTGTAGAACATCTTCAGTGTACAGAACATTACCATACCCTATTCATTAAAGAAAGAATGCAGGTTTTCAAAATAAGTGACAGGACTGGCCATGTAATTTGAAAGCATAATGAATTCCCTCTCGAGTATCCATCAGTATTGCATGGTTTAGCCCTTGATCAGGTGACAGATGAGAAGCATCTCTTTAGTCAAAGTAGAAATTTAAAGAAGGGGGTATTGGGCTGTTGATTACTTCAGCAGATCATTGCTTTTGGATCCTGTGTCCAAACCAGAGCTCTCTATTCATCTGAAACAAGTTTGAGCTGATAATCTGGCAAGTATCTGACTTTAGAAAATGGGGAGTGGAGCTAGTTCGGAAAGCAAGGAGTCAGCCAAAAGATCAAAGGAACTGGAGAAAAGACTTCAGGAAGATGCTGAGCGAGATGCAAGAACTGTAAAGTTGCTGTTATTAGGTAATTTCATTCTTTTTGCTTTTAAGACCTGAATGTTTTCTTCAATCGTGAAATTGCGATGTATTTATTTTTTTAAAACTATAATTACAGTTACATTACCATAAGGACCATTTATTAGGAAAATGTTTAGAAACTTGAAAAGGTTATATATATGATTTATAACATAAAAATGTTTTCTTAAGAAATTATTACATATTTTATAAGGATATAATAGTAAGATAACTCCATTTCTCTGTCAGTAATACAATTTATGTTATTGAATGCTGTCAATGATCTTGTTAGTATAATCAAAAAAAGGATGACATTTGCAAACTTTTAGTATATTTATATTCTCCTCCATCTCAGGAATTATGTCTCTTCTATATTTTTATTCCCTCAAAACTCAGCACAATATGCCTAATGAATATTAGTACAAATTCATTAAATGCCTAATGAACTGAAATAAAAATAATTAATGCATCATACTTTTGGTCAAAATATTAATGCAGTATGCACAAGAAAAAAGAACGCATTTATGATATTATGATATTGAAAATATAAAAAGAATAGACAAAAACCTTTTATTTAATCATTGTTGTGTTTCTACTGCCAGTTGTTATATTCAAATAAATTTTTATGTCACAACTATGAATCATTCCTATGATCAAATATCTTTCTTTATTAAGGTGTCACTTTACTGACTAAAATGTTCCCTATGACAAGAATGTCTTAAGAAACAATGGTGGAATTACCAGTATTTGTTCCTTAGAGAAAATGAGTTTGTCCTTTTTACCTACAACTTTGTGGTTCCACACTTGCCCACTAGAAGTAACCACCTAGAGGTTTTTGGCGACTTAGCAATGTGTTGAGTTCAGTGCTTATGAAACCAGGAAACATAGTTTCCCTAACATTCCAGAGTGTTAATGAGAATTTGATAACAGTGAATGGAAGTACACATAGAAAAAATCAAATAAACCAAGAGAGGAAAAGTCAAGTACTTTTACAAATATGTTTTGTGGACCTCTTGTACAAAGAATAACAGTATAAGAGTGGTGATTTCATGAACTTTAAGAAATTTTTATCTTTTTTTTTCCTTTTTGGGTCACACCTGGCGATGCTTAGGGGTTACTCCTGGCTCTGCACTAGGAGTTACTCCTGGCGGTGCTCAGGGGTCCATATGGGATGCTGGGAATCGAACCCGGGTCAGCCGCGTGCAAGGCAAATGCCCTAGCCGCTGTGCTATCTCTCCAGCCCAGGAAATTTTTATCTTTGAGTAATATTGTAAAAAATAAATATTTTAATAAACCAGTTTTGCAGATTAAAAGTACTGATTATATAAAAGAAAGCATAACTGTCTCTATTGTAGATACAAACATGTCATTAGTAGTTTTTATGCATCTTTGACTTTCCCAATACAATCTTACTAACATGTTTTGCTCTATTATCATTACATAGTATGCTTGGTTTTATTTGGTTTCGACAACACATGCACTGAACTTTTTAACGATTTTTTTTAAATACACAAAATGAATCATACTCTTGTATGCTTTTCCTATTCCAATTACACTTCAAACACTTGAAAAAAGTGTTCCCTTCTGAACTCTGGGTTCTATACAAGCTGATTCAATTGTCAAGATCAAAATAAACTCTTGTCACACTGCTTTTATTTTAGTTTTAAATTTTTTTAGGTTTTTAAAAATGGAATCATCATGAATTACAAAGTCACAAAGATATTTACGATTGAATTTCAGGCATCTATTGTTTCAACTCCAATCCCTTCACCAGTGCCCTCTACCCTCCACCTACATCCCCAGTATCCTTCCCAACCCCTAGCCTGATTCAATGGCAGGCACATTTCCCCATTCACCACTGTCCTTTATATCTTCTCATCTTCACATCCCTGTATTAAAACATAGAACATATATATGTGTATATGTGTATATATACATTATATATGTATATGTGTATATATACTATATATATATATATATATATATATATATATATATATATATATGGGGCTGGAGCGGTAGCACAGTGGGTAGGGCGTTTGCCTTGCATGCAGCCAATATGGCCGACCCAAGTTCGATTCCTCCACCCCTTTCGGAGAGCCTGGCAAGCTACCAAGAGTATCTCGCCTGCATGGCAGAGCCTGGCAAGCTACTCGTGATGTATTCAATATGCCAAACACAGTAACAACAAGTCTCACGATGGAGACGTTACTGGGCCTGCTCGAGGAAATCGATGAATAACGGGAGAACTGTGATAACTGTGATATATATGTGTGTATGTGTGTGTGTGTGTGTGTGTGTGTGTGTTTTCCTCATATCCCCCAAGTTGTCACCTCTGTGGCAGACATTTCCCTCTCCCCCATTGCCCTTTTTACCCTCCCCCAGTGTCATTTTTAAACTGAATTCAAATCCTCTAACATACTCTTTATAGGCAACGCCACATCATTGAGAAATGTTCAGTGAAAATTAAGTGTAAACTGAACATTTCTATAACCTCTCCTTTACATCCCCTTAGTAACAAAATGGAATGTTCCATCACTTAAACAATGATTCTTTTACATATATGTAGTCTGAACAAGAGTGTTTAAATTTAGTGCATGCCAAGTAGGACTAGCCAAATCATCTGGTATCAGATTCTGAGTGTGTAACTCTAGTATAAGTTATAAATCTAAAAAGTATTATTTCCAACTTTCATTATTTCTGAAGGGAGGTGATCTCTAGCATTGATTCGAAACTAAGGACAGTTCCTGTGATACTTGACCTGATGGTGCCAGTTAGGATACATGCTCTCCTGGCAATGTAGCACTGCCAGCCCATCTGTGCTGGAAGTTGCTAAGGTGCCATATCCTAAGGGACTTGGAATCAAAGGCAGAACCTTGCATGCTCCACACCTTTGAGCTACCTTTTCCTCAAACTAATTTCCATCCTTACATCGATCCTTTATCTAATGTATTTTGAAATGTTCAAACACAAAATATATCTTTCCAAATTTATATCTGTATATGTACCACTTGGTATTATTTATAACTGTATATGTACCACTTGGTATTATTGGAAAAAAGGACCACTGAATCTCAAGTTCTCAAAATGCTACTTTACAAATAAATGATCATTTTTCAGACAGATTTCTCTTTTATGATATATTTAGACTTTCAATAAAGCGGTGCCAAATCTATTTATTCAGCAAAAGTAGGCTTCTAGGAAACTCAAAAATGGCTCATATTCCTAATATATTTAATAATTGTGATCAAAAAGTGATACGTTCTTTTATTAAAATATATAAATGCTCCACTTAGTACATTTTCTTAAGAAAACATATCAATGAACACAGACATTCTCATTTATTTTTTGGGTAGATTTCCTGTTAGCTTTTTAAAAAAAGTCTTTAGTTACAAAGAATTATCCCAAAAATATATAGTTGAAGTGCTATGTATGTATGTGTGTGTCCACAAAGGTACATAGAGATTAATTTCTTTTACCCATTCCTAATTAAATCTGTGTCCAAGTAGAAATAGAAGAAAATTCCCTTAAACAAATAAACTGTGTGTATAAAAGTCCTCAGTAATTGTCATACTTAAATCAGTAATATTTAACACTGTTAATTATAGATAGTAAGCAAGTATCTAAGATTAATGATGTGACACAGTTTCCTGCCCTTAACCTTCTCCTCTTAGTGCCCTTACAAGGAGCATGGGGATTAGGCAGATTTCATACTTGAGTAACACTTAGTTAGAAAATAAAGTAACAGATACCAGGGTTAAAAAGGCAAGCGATCTCCACTAGAGTATTTGCTAGAGTAAATGTTTGGCCCAAATCATTGAAATGAAATAGGTTTGCTCTTGTTGCTATGTTGGTTTTGAGGTCACACCCAGAGGTGGGTGCTCAAGGCAAACACTCTGGGTCCTAAGCTTAGGGCAACTCTATGCAATGCTAGCTGGTAGCAGTATTTGGGGTTTGTGCAGTGACATGACTTAAATTCTTGCATGTACCATATGTTTCCACTTCACTGAGCTAATAGTTTTTACTGAGGTTCAGAATAAATGTAGATATATACATAACTATTTTTGTTTGCTAAGAGGGGCCAGGGCTATGCCTCAAAAGGGTGAAGCACACACCAAGCAGGGGCAAGGATCTGACTCTTATTCCTGGCAATGACAGGCCTCCTAAGTGCTGCAGGGTGTGACACTGGGCCTCCAGCTGTGTCAGCCTAAGCAGTACAGCGACACTGGTCTAAGTATCACTCAAGTGGCTCTTCAGCCCAAAGCATCTCCCTTCCACCAAAAGTAAAAAACTTAATTTTACTGAATGCTCAATATAGGTATTAAAATATAGTAAAACTATAACAGTGGGGGCGATGGGGAATAAATGGAAGGGTTAACTAATCACAGAGCCTTTTAAGAAATTAGAAATGAATTAAAAAAATCAGGGACTAGAGAAATAGTATAGCATGTAGGGCATTTGCCATGGACATGACTAACCAGGGATTGATCTCAGCTTCTCATTTACCAAACCCCATTCCCATCCCTGACCCTGCTCAGCCCCGCCAGGTGTGGCCCAAACACACAACACACACACACACACACACACACACACACATACACATACACACACCCCAAATACTAACAAAATTAAGTTATACTAAACATTTTTTCCTACAAAAAATAGCTGGTAAAACCTAAAATAAATTAACCCTGATTTTCCACCCCCTGCCAAAAAACAAAAACAAAACACCCAATTACCAGAATCAACACAAACCTCAATTGTATTTCGAGTCTGCTTCACCAGAATACATGTGATATTGATAAATTTCTTGGCAAATATAAGTCCATTTCAGATCTGTATTGAACAAGGATATGGGTTCACACATGGAGATTGCTTTCAAGGGTAAAGTAAAGTAAAGTAAAGGCCCTCCCGTTGATCATCGATTTGCTCGAGCGGACCCAGTAACATCTCCATTGGAGACTTTGTTGTTACTGTGTCTGGCATATCGAATACTCTCGGTAGCTTGCC